TTACTATGCCAGCTTTTTGTTGCCCTGTCCCAACTTTTATGAGACTTGTTGCTGACATCAATTTCAAAATTACATTTTTTCTTTGAAATGGTAGATTCTCAGTTTTAGCAATTAATATTTTTTCTTTTGAGAATAAAATATGGGTTTATGAGATTTGTTTTTATGTAGATTTTATAGAACAGCCTAACGTTTTTTTTTTTTTTTGGAATTGGGATCGTACTTTTTTAATCAAACCAGCCTTTAGTGGCACGCTAGGTAAGTCATTGAAGTTTCCATTCTCAAAAAAGTTGACTGATATTTTACCTCTGTTTCTTCATTATGGAATATTGGGTACATTAAGATAACACTGTTCAACAGGTAAAAAGTTTTGGGCATAAAATTAGCTAATCTTACATAATTTTGGGGTGCTGAAAACGAAAATGACCCTAAAAAATGTTGATTGGCTCTAGTTTCCATGATATATTCACCTATCTAATGACGTAAGCCATTCAAAATTATGATGCAACTTTAGCTGCATATTGCGCAATTGATACTGGTGACCAATAGAAAATTGCATGTATACTGAGATGATGCAATATTAGCCTTTAATTGCATCACTTCACTGCATAAAAGCTGCAGTATCTGTAGCTGATTGTAGTTCGACAGCGTCTTTACATTTCGTTTTATGCTTATATAGGCTACTCAGTAATGCCTCGAACTTGTGTGAATAAAGCAGATAATTTCTGCTATATCTGCGGTGAAATAACTTTTATCTCACAAAAAAGGAGGATAACAGGAATGATTAAGAAAGCCTACAACTTGTATTTTGGCTGCAAGATAGGAGACCAGGACAAGAGCTGGGCACCACATATATGCTGCAATTCTTGTGGGACGGCACTGGAGCAATGGTTGAATGGAAAAAAGGCATCTATGCCTTTCGCTGTGCCAATGATTTGGAGAGAGCCAACAGATCATGTTAGTAATTGTTACTTTTGTATGGTGCCTCCAACAAAAAAGCTAAATAAGAAGAAAAAGTTATCTGTGCACTATCCAAATATTCCATCGGCAATACGTCCAGTTCCTCATGGAGAGGGGCTACCAATTCCTAAAGCACCAGAATCCTTCGTGGTTGAGTCAAGTGAGGAAGAACCTGAAGCGTGTAGTCACGTGCAGTTGTAAGAGATAGCCCTTTCCTCGAATACAAGAGAAAAGCCAAGAGAAGCAAAACCGACACAAACTGAAGACAAAACTAGTGGGAATCCTAAGTATTAAAATGATTCAACTTAGCTTATGGCTATAATTTTTCTTGGTAATCCTATGCAATATATTATGCCATTTAGGCTTTGTTATGTAGTCAATATCACTTGCTTTATATTTGTGGAAAGACATCTATCTATATAATTATTGTGCATTATGTAGTCATTACGCCTATAGTAGAAAACTTTCCGTTTACAGAAAAACTAGAGCCAATTGACAAATTTCATTGTTGTATTTGAACTCAGAATGTGAAATTCATTAAGAAATGGATCCTTTTGTTTCCAAAACTGGCAAAAAATAAAAATTTGTTGAACAGTGTAATACAGTAAATTGATATTATTCCAGAGTTTGGGTGAAGTAAGCCAAGTATCTTCTGGGAAACGTTTTTATAAGGGTAAACAATGTTAGGCTTTATGCACACTAAGCCTTTTTAAGAAGGTTAGAAGCTGTTATTAGCAGCTGTTTTTTTCTGCCCCTAGAAGCTAAATAGTGTTATCCTATGTGTCCATGCACATTATTTAAGGCTAGTAGCATTTTTCAAGCTTCAGAGCTCAGGAGCAGAAATTTTTTTTTTTTTTTTGTTGAGTTTTTGGGAGCGTTTTTCCTGGCAGAAAAAAAAAACCCGCTGAACACTCCTAACAGTTTTTTCTAGGTTGTTAAAGTTTTTCTACATATACTGTGTATTTTTTTTTTAATGTAGCTGTATGTTGTTGCTACTACTATAACTTACCAAAGAATAACCCACAATAAATCCTCCTGGTCCTGACCATTGCAGCGATACTGCATAGGTGTATGTTATTTGTTGTTTGTACCCTTAGTCCAATGTATCTCTCTCTCCATTCAGAGGAGAAAGAACACAGAGGGGAGGACTTTACAGTGACTGATCACTGTGATAGCAAATCATGGGCTATCACAGCGATCGGGAACCGGCCTTTCCGGTTCCTAATTATTAGTACAGGACACAGGGCTCTCGGTGAATAACTGGTCTCTGTGCTGGAATTATCCCATGGTGTACTTCCTGGGAAGGAATTTCCTTGCCTTGCCTCACACAAAGTAAATCTTCTAAGTGCAATGGTAGGCCATTGGGAGGAGTTGATTTCCTAGCATTTAAGAGTGATAGACCCCTGTTCCTCAGGACCAAGGCTTCAACAGGCAAGGCAGCAATTGAGAAGCAGGATCTTAGAACAGTCCGAGAGACAGAAGATCTGGACGATCCTGAGGATCCACAAAAAGTCTGCCAGGAGCTTGACTATGTCTGAGTACCACATCGTCCTGGGCCAGTTCGATACAATGAAGAATACCAGAACACACTCCACCTTGAGCCTGCAAAGTAGGTGAGAAAGGAAAGCATAGACTGGGGTGAGCTGATCCCACAGAGTCACCATAACATCCACTGCAAAGACCCCATGAATCCTGGTCCTGGCAACAAACCTATCTAGTTTGTTGAATATGAAAGCCAAGCGGCCCAATAGCAGTGTCTCCCCAACTGCGACAGAGAGCTCAAAACACCTCTGGGTGAATAAAACATTCTCTGTAATGCAGACATTTGTGACTGAAGAAGTCCACTTGCCAATCTACATGCCAAATTGGGCCAGCTTTGAGGGGCTGAAGCTGCCTATAAAAAACACCTCACATCCATGTCCTTTGAAGGAAGACATATCTTTGGTGAGGTGCTTGATAAATTCATCAAAGATGTCACAGGAGAGAAGGCTCAACTCCCACACAAAAACCCCTCCCAGGAGCCTACTACCTCTTCAAAACACAGAGCATCTCACTGCTCTAGCCAGGCTTCAATTTCAAAACATAAGTTCAGCTCTTCTTTTGGTGAAAAACTTGGCACACAAGTCCACCAAGTCTTTCCCAAAGCCCTTTTTCCAGTAAAGAAGCACCCTCGCTTCTATGGAGGGACAACTGTAGTCTGCTTTTCTCTGGGTCACAGACATTCCAGACAAGGAACAGGAACATCAATTGGTAGTGAGAGGTTTGGGACTGAGATGGAAGAATAACCTTTTTTTTTATGAACTCTTTCCACAGGACAGGGCTCAGAAATGATTTTTATAGAAGTGAAACTTTTTTTCTGGATTGACCCAATCATCATAAATTGCACATATTATATGTCCACGAACAGGAAATGCCTTTTTAGATTTAGCAGGTCTGTTTGTACCCAAAAGGGACATGGTGACAAGGGGGGCAGTCAAGTTTAACAATGTCAAGGTTTAGTCGCACAACGAAAATGAGCATTTCCACATTGACAAGCATGCTGCGTGAAGCCACAACATCAGGTGTATGTAAATCTTTCACAGCTTCCCCTAACACAGACTCTAGGTCCTTTTAATTTGCTTCTCTTCTCGGGAGGGTATCTCAGGACTCTATAGCTGAAGAGCCTGACATTTTAGAGCCCTGGACAGTGATAGCTGTATTAAAGCAGTTTGTTGTCCAAGAATTGTGACATAATTTAGGAAAAATCTGCCTTAGTCATGTAGTGCTTGTTGCATGCTCTAGATGCAGCTAGAATTGGATGCAGAAACTGGTGTTAAAATCAGGTGCTGCTCTGGTGCAAGGGAATCATCATCATGCTGAGGTTGTGTGTTGCGCAGCCCTTCAGCAGAACAAATGTTTGCCTAAGTTTTTGCTGTGGCTCCCTTTTCTTGGGTTCACTATAGCTACGGCTAAGGGTATTCTCCGGTGGGGTACTCAAGAGTAGAATGCAGAATATAGCATGTCCAAGATAAAAAAAAAGCAACCGGGATGCAGACTGTTCCGTAACAAGGTCCTTGTGGCAAAAGGTCAGGAGAAAGCGACTGAGTACCTTATAAGGGCTCTAGACAGACGTGGCAGTAAAATGTGTGACCTGTGGTGTGATGTAAGGTTAGAAATGTTTACACTGTAAATACATTCAAAACAAAGTCCTGGTATTACAGTAACCGTAATAGACACATGTTGATCCTCTCTTATCTATCCACTACACGTGTTGCACAAAATGCCATGGTAAGCAACTATTCAGGATCCAGTGTTCAGGTACGGCTCCCAAGGTTTCACAGAGGTTGCACTACTCCTATTGTTGTACTAGAAGACAATGAAGAGATAATTGAAGAGTTGATTGGAAAATACCAGGACAAAATAATAAAGTCCTTAAGCTAAGAATGATTTCTCCATAGGGAGAAGGTCCATCTCCTTGGGACAGTGGCAGAGTGGGTTGGGGGTGTCCTGTACTGTATGATTTAAAGTGGTTGTACAGTCTTTTTTTTTTTATTTAAATAATAAACAGGTTTATACTCTGCTCTGTACAATGCTCTGGCCAAACCTCATCTCGGGTTTCTTGATGGCGCTCTGGGCTCCCCCTCTTCTGTGTCTGCCCCTATAACAAGCTGCTTGCTAGGAGGGCAGAAATGCAGGCTTGCTCCCAAGCCAAGCTTTGTGTGTCCCTCCTCACTGAATTTGATTGGCTCCCACTGCTATCAGCAAAGCCTGTGAGACCAAGAAGAGAAGACCTACAGCTGAACACAGCGCTGGATCGATACAGGAGTCAGGTAAGTGCTAGGGAGGGGACAGAGAGTGGAAAGATTTTTTCCTTAATGCAGAGAATGCATTAGTTTTAAGAATCACTTTAAATTGTCGTTTCATTTTGAAATAGATTATAGAGGTTTTATTTGGGTACTCGAGGCTTGCACAATAAACTGTTTTACAGTGAACTGGCACTATCAAATCTTAAACATTAGGAGGAGATGAACACAAAACTAGATATCAAAAATACAAGAACTCACCCTGTGATCATAGGTCGAATCAACAATGGTCCAAAAATTTCTGCAGCTACCTTCACGTTGAAGCCATTAAGACTGCCAAAGCTGCATACCTTTCCAATATGCCAAAGTATACACTGCAAAGTGAGAACATGTTGAATAGGGATGGTAGGTGGTTGTAAAATTAAAGAAATGCGTGCTCTTTTCTGCTTGTCTTCACCAGGCTCTGTATGACAAAAAAAAAAAGAAAGAATCAATGCATTATTTAAAAAAAAAAGAAAAAAAAAGTATGCTACATTTAAAGTTTACATTCACACAGTGTTTTTCTGTTTGTTTCGTGTCAACGCTTGCTAATGGTGGCACACCTTTCTGCTATGAAAATACAAATAAGGAGATTAAAGCAAAACTAAACATTCAGCATTTAGGCTCCATTCACACTTGTGCGACTTCAAAATCGAACTATTTTCATTACGACTTTGCAGTGTGACTTTGATGCGACTTTGGGTGAGTGTAATTTTGGCTTTGACCAAGGATAATTGTTTATGCTGTACAAAGTCGCACACAATTCGCATGTATAATATTCAGGTGTGACTTTCATGCGACTTTGGAGCGTTTACACTGAAGTCTATGGCCCTCATGTCGCATGAAAGTCACACCAAAGTAGTGCAGGAACTACTTTTAGGTCACTGTGACTTGTAGTCGCACAGATAGGAATGGTACTCATTGGGAAACATGGGGGGAAACATATCGTATGTGAATGGGCTCTAGCTTTTTAATCCTTATGCTGTTAGCATTAATAAATAAATAGGAATGTACATTTGTTTATTTTTTAACTTTTTTTTTCTTTTACACACATTTCTGCAGTTGCTTCCAAGTTTCTGGTCATGATGTCATACATCCCATGAGTCTTAGTGGGCATTTTTTTTCCTTTTCTCTGAAAGAAGGGAGGACATATTTCTCAGCTAAGCACACCCTCCTGCATGCGTGCCTGTGCTAAGGGCAGATTGATTCCCGAAAGTAAATGCCACATGAATCATCTGCCCTTACTCAAGATGGCTGTGGATAGAAATGCTAGTGGTGTGTTTCAAAGTGATTTCCCAACAAAGAAAACCATGAAGATATATATGGATTAGTTTGCTTTGAATATTAAAATGAATGAAATAGTGCTTTTAGTTTCTAGTACTCAGATGTAGTTACAATAAGTTCTGCTTTAACACATTCCTGTCCGCAACCAGTCCTTTAATTCACCCTTGTGCTGGGGGGATGCAAATCCAAACTGCCTTTTCTGAGAACTTGCTGTCACTGGCCATCCTGGTTTTGGACCAATGATAAGGTGACACTTTGATTGGTTCCCCATTATGTGACCACCCCCAGAGGCCTTTATAGTGTTCACAGATTCACAAAACCGACTGACAGATAGGGCTATTAAAGTGAAAAACCAAGAAATACATTAGAAAAAAAAGTCTACTCTACTCTATTGTTTCCCCAGTTTTACAGAAAACTTTAAGACCTTATTTAGGTTTTTATCATTGGATGTATGCTTGTTGGAGAAATTTGCCCTCTCTATTTGTCCTATTGACAGTGTGAGGATGAATATAAAAACTTGAATTAACACTGAGAAAGGTGGCTCTGCTGTAAAAAAATAAATAAAAATGAAAAAAAACTAAATTCATAAGCTATTGAATATATTGGCCATTATTCCCAAATTTCAAAGACTAAAGCATACAGTGCTTTTTATGTAATAATTTAAAGATTTTTCATCCGCCTTTCTGAGTAAACCCAATAGCGAATATGCAGTCATAGTATTAATGTATTAAGGTCAATGTTCATGAGTTTAGGTTTGCTTATCTTCCCACACAATTCAAAAGGAATGCAAAAGCAGCTTGAAGCAGGTCTAATGCACTTGCAATGAATTCTGAATTATTTCAGAAGCATTGCAAAGTAAAGCATGCTGCATTTTCCCATTAAAGTCAGTTGACACAGGCGCTCAAACTCTGGTAAATGCTTTGCCATCTCATAATCAATATGACTCCAAGGCATTGCCCAGTAGCTGTGAGGAAAACAAACGTGATGTATTATTTCTAATCAAAGTTAAACTCAGTACAATACAACACAGAAGCTAGCTGACAAAAATGTTTTAAAACAAAATTCTGAAAATCTCACAAGCAGATTATAGTGGCTAGATTCCTTTCTCCTTTGTAAAACACGAGTCAATAGGGCTAAATGCACTGTGACCGTCTCACCTTTCTATCAACTGTCCCCCCCCAACAAAAAAAACATGGCCCACTGCACCTTCTTGTGAACGCATGGTTCCCCAAAATGACAAGGGGCTTGCGTAAAATGCACAGCAGTTAAGCAAAGGTGAGGGCATAACATAATATTTAATGCTATTCTACTCACCTAATTAGTATTTTTGTTTAATTCAGATGCGACAGCAGGGAGACAAAAATTCCTGGATACATACAAAGCACCAGGGAGTTTAAATAGCATGTTTAGAATAAATAAAAAAAAAAAAAAAAGCTAAAGACATGGAACTGGTTTACATCCTATGTGTATAATCTATGCTAACCCATTTATGACAATGGATCTTTTTTTGGCTTTGTGAAGTGTTGTCCAGAGATTTTTGTGCTTTTCTCTTCATTAATTGCAAGCAGAGCAACAGCAGACTGTCCTTAACAGTAACATAGGGAATACAGTTTGTGAAATGCTGGATGTTGTGGTGTAGGTTGTCTAGAATGCATATATAGTCTAATGAAGAAGTTTACTAGTAGGCTGGTGCCCATAGAACTATGACCTGGCTCTTTCAGAAACACATACACCAGTATAAAAAGAGGTGCTCCAAACTTCCAAACTAATAGGGCTCACATATAGAACATTCTTACATTTTTGACCTATGTTTATTTAGTCTTTAGTACAGGTTAGAGGGACAGGTCAATACAGAACAATAGTGGTAAAATTTAACATATTGAAAGATGCACAGTTGACATTTTTTCTTTAGGCCAAGATGTTCTCTTCCTTGCCTGTGGAGAATCAGTATGGACTTTAACCATATTCTCAACATATTTTAGATTGTGTATTTGGCATGCGTTTTATTCAATGTGGTATCATGTACCGTGCTCTAGCATTGATGAAGTCAGTACCTCAACCCCCAAATGACATTGAATTTATAAAACTACAAAAACAAACTTTATATGGGCCTATTAGTTTGGTAGCCCTTGTTTATATCTGTTGGATCCTAAGAGAACAATAAGAGACATAAAAAAAACAGTGTTTAGATGACAAAGTTTGATATAGTTAGTTTTAAAGTAAAATTTAAGGAAAATCAGATGGTTACCTAGCAGCATTTGGATGAGGTCCAGGTTGATGTGCGAAGGTATTACAGGACTTGGCAACTCTTGAAGAAATGTCTTGACTAGGTCAGCAATAAAATGTACATCTGTTGCTTCCAAATCAGCTCCGAAAAAATCTAAAATAAGAAGGAACACCTTGTGCTGAAGTAGGATGTGAAGTTACAAGTTTATAAATAATCAGGGTGTATAAAAAATCGATGATTTAAAAAAAAAAAAAATAATTTTTTTTTTTTAAATCGGATTTTTTCGATTTTTATCAAATTTATTTTAATAAAATGCTTTTGAAGCAAAAATCTATCTAAAGATAGTTTTCCCATTTACGATACATTAACCACTTGAGCTCCAGAGGATTTACCCCCCTTAATGACCAGGCCTCTATTTGCCACTCGGCGCTGCACTAATTCAACTGATAATTGCGCAGGTCATGCAATGCTGCACCCAAACGAAATTTATGTCCTTTTTTTCACACAAATAGAGCTTTCTTTCGGTGTAATTTGATCACCTGTGCGCTTTTTATTTTTCACGCTATAAACAAAAAAAGGCCCAAAATTTTGAAGAAAAATAATTTTTTTTACTTTCAGCTATAAAAAATATATAGTAAACTCAAAGTTGGTTATAAATTTCGGCCAAAATGTATTCTGCTACATGTTTTTGGTAAAAAAAAAATCCCAATAAGTGTATATTGATTGCTTTGTGTGGAAGTTATAGCGTCTACAAACTATGGTATAAATACTGCAATTTACGCCATTTTTCTGCTATACAGCGCTGCGCTAGTTTAACTGACAATTGCGCGGTCATGCAATATGGTACATAAATGAAATTAACATCCTTTTTTTCCCCACAAATTGAGCTTTCTTTCGGTGGTATTTGATCGCCTGTGCGGTTTTTATTTTTTTGCGCTATAAAAAAAAAAAAAAAAAGGCTGACAATTTTGAGGAAAAAAAAACAATATTTTGGACTTTTTGCTATAAAACATGTCCAGTAAAAAAAAATGCAAAAATCTAATTTAGTCATAAATTTCTGCCAAAATGCATTCTGCGACATGTCTTTGCTAAAAAAAAACCCAATACGTGTAAATAAATTGGTTTCCGTGAAAGTTATAGCGTTTACAAATGGCGGGAAAGATAGTTTTTTCTTTATACTAATAATGGTGGCGATCAGCGAATTATGGTGGCAATCAGGGACTTATGGCAGCAACCAGCGACTTATGGCGGGACTGCGGCAGACATTCTGACATTGGGGGGTACTGACTTGGGGTCACTGACATCCCCAAAAACACTAATACAGTGATCAGTGCAAAAAAAAAAAACAAAAAAAACACTGACACTGTACTAATGGCAATGGGGAGGAAGGGGTTAACTTTATTTAGCAGGGAAGGGTTATAGGAGTGAGGGGAGTGTTTTACTAGGGGGCGGGGGTGTGTACTGGACGGGACAAGGCTGATCGAGAAAGAGAAACTGTTCTTTCTCGATCAGCTCATCCTCGAGCTGACAGGGAAGTGACAGACAGCACAGCTACTGCACCTGTGCTCTCTGTCACTGCTTGCTGCCGATCGCCGGGACATAGCCGCTAAGGAGCGGCTGTGACCCGGCGACTGACATCTGCGGCGGTGATCCGCGAGACAGATAGGGCGGCGGCGCGCCTCGCACGCGCCCCCTATTTGTTTACAAAACACACGTTTTAAAACGTGGTTTTGCCTGCGAGTGCCGCCCTGCCGCCGTATATGTACAGTGGCTGGGCGGCATGTAGTTAATAATTAAATTTATTTAGCATGACATGGAGCTTAGTTATGTAGCATGAGGCTGTATATTCTGCAATATTTACATTTTTGGTAAACTCATTCAATGAATCCAAGCTCTACAAGCTAACATGCACTGCATTGATGCATTCAAACAATTTCTCAGTAGTTCTCCAGCTACGTGTGATTAACCTATTAACCTAAAATCGGCTGTTTTACTAACCTGACATATTATTCTAAAAAGGAAACCTTCATTTGGTTTGCAAATATTAGATTCTAACTACCAGCAAGAATGAGTCGGATTCCTTACATTTAAAGAGCACCTGTCATTTTAGATCCATCATGGCAGCGCCTGTTAGCAGGCATCCACGTCCCTCACCTTGTTGTGTCACTGCCGCATCACCAGCTATCCCATTAAAGTGAATGGACCTGTTGGTGAGTCAACAGAGGAGCTGCTGCAGGACAGAGATGACAGTTGCTCTTTAAAAATTATGATAGGATTTAAATCGAGCCTTTTCACTAGTGATTTAAATCAAATCCACCCAGCAAATAATACATTTAGGATTTGTTCACACAGGTGTACGTTAATGTAAATATGTGGATGGGGGAATGGTGTAATTTTTTTTTCATTCAAACCACTGGATGAAGAAGAAAAAAAAAAAAAAAAAGACTAATGTATGGCCTACCAGTTACATCCTCAAGCCTCAGGTAAAATAAAGGGGAAAAAAAATCCTCAACACATTATATAGCCTGCTAGCCACTCGCCACAAGTGAGTATATAGAGATAGGGACAGGAAATACTGCCAAAGCTGTTACCAACAACTCAACAAGGACTCCCCAGATAAACTGACCTGAACTGGAAAGTGAATCCTGTGCCAACTAGAACATAGATGGGCTGCTCTTGCCTACCGCAGGTCTGTTGCAGGGAGAACAGCAGTATATTTAAAGTGATACTAAAGTCTAGTTTTTTTTTCTTAAAGATAACAAACATGTCTATACTTACCTGCTCTGTGCAGTGGTTTTTCACAGAGCAGCCCAGATCCTCCTCTGCTCAGGTTCCCTGCCGACATTTCTGGCCCCTCCCTCCTGTCGGGTTCCCCCACAGCAAACAGCTTGCTATGGAGACACCTGAGCAGGCCCGCTCCTGAGCCATGGCTCTGCCTATCCATTCACACATAGAGCTGTGGCTCAGCCTCACCCTCTCCTGAGTGGCTTACTGGCTGTGATTGACAGCAGTGGGAGCCAATGAGTGAGAGTACCCGGAGAACCAAGGCTCTCGTGGACATTGCTGGATTGAGATGGGGCTCAGGTATTTAGGGGGGCTGCTGCACACAGGTTTTTTTTGTACCTTTATGCATAGAATGCATAAAGGTAAAAACCTTGAGACTTTAGAACCACTTTAATGAACTGGTAATATCTGCACTTGTTGACTAACTGGAGGGACATACAATACCTGGCCTAAATCTACCAGGAGAAGGTGGAGTCTGTGATGTCAATGGCCGCACCCCTCCATCTGTATAATCAAAGAACACGTTATATTAATTGGGAAAATAAAAAGTGTTCTCTGATCAGACTAGGTGTAGGGGCAGGCAGTCACAATCTCCACCTTGCCTTGGTAGATTTAGGCCAGATATTGTAAATCCTGGATGTCTCTCCAGTTAGTCAACAAGTGCAAGTTTTACCAGGTAATTAAGTATACTGGTGTTCTTCCTGCAACAGATTTAGAGTAGGCAACAACAACCCATCTGTGTTCTAGTTAGCACAGGATTTACTTTCCAGGTCAGGTCAGTTTATATGAGGAGTCCTTGTTGAGGGCAGCTGCTCGGCATGGGACCCAGAAACTAGTGATGATTACTGTAGTAGCAGCGCTTACTACATTGATTCTCAGCTTCATAGTTACATAGCTGGTAAGGATAAATAAAATACACCATCCAGTTCAATTTGTGTGTACGCTTCAACAGGAATCTTCCAGTTACGAGATATACATACTTACACTGGTCCAGCAGCACTGGTCCAAGCTGTACCTAGGCTCACCTTAAGGTAATGAACAATCATACACAATACACATTTCTTGTATTCGAAAGCCTTAGTTCAATAACACGGTCAAATTCTGAAAAAATTATATTTTTTCAGTTGAGAAAATGATGGTTTACAGAACATTCCTTAATGTAAAATATCATTCAGAAGTCTGCAGAGAACGGTCTTATATCTAGGGGTTGCCTTACTTTGTTGATGTAGGCTTGCTTTCCATAGCCATAAAGTATAACTAAGAAAAGGGTGCATCGATTTTGCAAAATGTGTAGGAGTTTGAAAATTATTGCAATGTTCTTCATGATAAGAGTCATGTCAGCAATGTAAATACTTTTAAAACAAACATACAGTTTAAAATCCAGTGCTATATAAAAAACAAACATTAAAAACACAAGTTTCCTCAAAAGGTTTTATATTCATTTTAAGCAAACTGAGCAGACCCTAGATTTGGAAATAAAGACCCTTAATAACCCTTGTAAGTAAGAACCGGTTCTTACCAGTTTTTAATGTGTGTCTAAACTCAGAGCCAGAAGTCCTATACAGCATTTCAGTGTCCATTCCTAGAAGGAAAACAAAATTTGTCATATAAATTACATTCACAAAGTACTCAACCATATCAGCTGCATATCACTATACAACAATTTAAGAGGTTCTTTACCGATAACCAAAAAAAAAAGCAAAATACTCAAATTCTCAACCAATGAAAGTGACAAAAATAGCAAATTAACAAACGAGGATTATTACAATATGTCTCACCAATGTTCTGTTAAATATATACAGGTATATTCTGCATTAAAGCATCTTTGAAGTATAGTCTGCTAAAGCAGGTAAATAAATAACCTGTAAATACCATACAATGAACACACCCCCTCTACAGTTTCAATAAAAAAAAAAAAGCAAGCTTCCAATTACAGCAAAAATCTTATACTTTGTGATTTTTTGACAACAATAACTCCTGACTCTTGAGGACAGCAGGCACTTAAAGTGGTTCTAAAGGCTCCTTCTGTGTGTAACCACCTCCCTAACACTTATCTGAGCCCCATCCCGATCCAGCGATGTCCACGAGAGCCCCGGTTCTCCACCGACTCTCCCTTCTAATTAGCTGAGGCAGCAGCGGGAGCCATTGGCTGTCAATCACAGCCAGTAAGCCAATCAGGAGAGAGAAGGAGCGGGGCCGATCTGCAGCTCTGTGTGTGAATGGACATGCAGAGCAGCAGCTTGGGAACGTGCCTGCTCGGGTGCCCCCATAGCAAGCTGCTTGCTGTAGGGGGCACCAGACAGGAGGGAGGGGCCAGGCGGGACCAAAGAAGAGGAGGATCGGGGCTGATTTCCCCAAAACCACTGTACAGAACAGGTAAGTATGACGTGTTTGTTATTTAAAAAAAAAAAAAAGTATAATTTTAAGCAGGCCATAGATTGATCAGTTTTTTTCGCGTTGAACAAAAGAAAAAAAAAATCTCCTGATTCTCTGGTGTCGGCTTAGACTGTCAAAAGTGACACATGCAGATATCAGGAGAGAGCAGTCAGAAATCACACTAGGTGCTTTGGATTGATGCAAGTACCGTATTTTTCGCTCCATAAGACGCACCTGACCATAAGACGCACCTAGGTTTTAGAGGCAGAAAACAGGAAAAAAAAAAATTCTGAACTAATGGACTGCAGACACAGTACAGGAGATGACCAGAGACTGCGGACAGTACAGGAGATGACCAGAGACTGCGGACAGTACAGGAGATGACCAGAGAGACTGCGGACAGCACAGGAGATGACCAGAGACTGCGGACAGCACAGGGATGACCAGAGACTGCGGACAGCACAGGGATGACCAGAGACTGCGGACAGCACAGGGATGACCAGAGACTGCGGACAGCACAGGGATGACCAGAGACTGCGGACAGCACAGGGATGACCAGAGACTGCGGACAGCACAGGGATGACCAGAGACTGCGGACAGCACAGGGATGACCAGAGACTGCGGACAGCACAGGGATGACCAGAGACTGCGGACAGTACAGGAGATGACTGCTGACCTTTGGGGAGGGGGGGGGGGGGGGGCGGGTACCTGAATTTGACAGGTACAGGTACCCACTCTTACTTCCGCGGAGTTGTCCTATGATCTTACCTGTTCCTCTATCCAGCCGCGCGCTGTCTACCCGGCTTCTGTAGTGTGGGCGCTCGGCAGACAGCCAGATGCCCAGTGCGCATGAGCAAGAAGCGCTGCGCTTTGTGATTGGTCCGGCGGCTTCTGGGATCTGTCATGTGTCCCAGGTGCCGCCTTACCATTCACAAAGAGCACCGCTTCTTGCGCATGCGCACTTGGCACCCGGCTGTCACGCACACTACAGAAGCCGGGAAGACAGCGCGCCGCTGGATAGAGGGACAGGTAACGTCCCACTGCAGAGCTGAGCGGCCGGCCCGGTATTTTGATACGGCGGCGGTGGAAATACTGGACCGGCCGCTCAATATTCGCTCCATAAGACGCACTGACATGTTCCCCCCTTTTTTTGGGGGAAAAAAGTGCGTCTTATGGAGTGAAAAATACGGTATACACTATAGGAGGATATGCTTTGTTCATTTTTCATTTCAGAGGTTTGCAACCACTTTAAAAGGACATGTTCAGCTTTGAAAAAATAAATAAAATAAATTTTTTTTTTCCAGGTAAAAAAAAAAAAAAAAAAGTGCATTGCTATTTTTTTTCTAAAGAACTTGCAGCGCATTGCACACACAAATCGGCAGATCCCAGGTGCAATCTTAGGCTCCTGCAGACTCTCAGCATAGCTGTCTGCTCGTACATGTAAGCAGTTATTTGAGAGCAAGCAGTCCAATGGTCTACGAGCACACTCACCAGTGCCCTCATAATTAATTGAGAAGTACAAGCCATCAGCTGCAATGGATGACAGTACTTGTAGGCATTCACAGGTAACTGCGAATGAATGACGTGCTGTGGGGGCAGGGAAGATCCCCCGCCGCGGTCATGGGGTGGAAGAAGTAACATGTTCTGAAGGCAAGCTTATCTTTTTTTTTTTTTCTGTAATTCTTTATTTAGGAAGACAATGTGCATATACAAGGAGTACCATCACACAGTAAACAAAGAAGATCCACATACGGTACATTTTGGAAACAGTCATATGTGCTGTAAGGCACATCAGTTCAGAGATCCTGGGATCAGGAGTAATAGGCCATATACATACCATATGTTACATATCACTAATGTAAGGCCACTCACACAGGAAATGTAGGGCGATGAGCCTGCAATACACAAAGTCTAACAAACATATATTTGGAAACCAAAAATCGGTCCATCATGGGACCAAGGGAAAAAGAAAAAAAAAAAGGAAAAATAACGTGGAAAAAAAAAAAACATCTGATCTCACTGGGAAGGGAAAAAAAAAAAGATAAAAAAAAGGGGGGGGGGGGGTTAGACGAGAGAGGACGGAGTTGGGGTTCACAGAGAGAACCGGAGGCAGAGCTTGAAGGTAGAGGGACTTGAGTGATCCGGTTCACTGTTCTTCCGATAAAGACATCTGCAGGTCAGTCTCCCATTCACCCACATAGGAAGGGACAAAAGTCTTCCCTGGTGTGATCAATATTTTATACAGTACTGACAGAAGGTAAGGAGTATACTCCATTGTGGCATGCAGCTGTTCAAAGGGAGTAAGTGGTCTGGTATATTTGTTCGAGTCTGGAATCGATTGTAAGAAGTGGCGCAACTAGTAGGCCGACCAGTCACCAAGCAGGGGTTGTACCAGAGCGCCAAGTGTCTGAAGGGACATCCAGTTCCGATGAGTAGTGAAATTCCTACACTGTGTAAAGCCCCCCAGGCGACGCAATTGCTTACGGTCAACTCCCGGTGGAAAAGCGGGATTGGAGAGTACAGTGCTAAGGGGGGAGGGAGAAGGGGACAGCCCCTATTGTTGAAAAGTCTGGTGAATAACCTTAAATCATGGCTCCCACTGTCGGGTGACTCTTAAAAGAAGGATAATATTTCACCTGTAACCAGGGCAAGGCCGCAAGTGAGACCTGCGCCCGACCCTGGACCACCCTGGAAAGATGCAAGGCTTTATAATATAATTAAGTCTGGCAGACCAGCCCCCCCCCCCCCTCAGCTTGGGGAGAGTTAGCAAAGAAAATTTCACCCGAGCCACTTTGCCCCCCCCCCAGATAAAGTCCAATTGCATAGCCCGCAGTGATGCAAAAAAAAAAAAAAAAAACTGTGGGATATATATATGGACAATGCCTGTATGAGGTACAAAATCTGGGGTAATGTCATTTTGAAGGCATTACAGTGTCCAAACCATGTGAGGGTGAGGCCCTTCCACCTGCGCATGTCTGACCCAAGTTTAGAAAGCAGAGGGCTAAAATTTGCTTCATACAATGCCGAGGGATCAGCTGTGATGATAACTCCAAGGTAGCGCATAGAGGATGTTGTCTAACGAAACTGATATAACTGCTGGAGATGCGTCACATGGTCCCATGCCAGGTTGCTATTGAGGGCCACAGATTTGGAAAAATTAATGGAGAAATTATAAAAGTTCCCCATATGTAGTAAACAGGGAAAGCAATTCCGGTAGGGATGTCTCTGGGTTGGTAAGGCTGAACAAGAGGTCATCGGCATAAGCAGCAATCTTGTAGTCATTGTGGAATAGCTGGAGCCCTGTTATGGCAGGGTTTGATCGTACCTTACACAGAACAGGCTCTAGAGTGAGGATGAAGATTAGAGGGGGCAACCCTGCTGAGTTCCATTGGACAACGGGAAATAATTTGAGCGAGTTTAATTCATTTTCACTGCTGCTGTAGGATGGGAGTATAGTGCAGAAATCCATGTCGACATATGAGTAACCAATCCCACATGCTCCAAAGTGGCCCACAAGAACTGCCAATCTACACAATTGAATGCCTTCTCAGCGTCAGTGGACAATAGCATGAGAGGTTGAGCCCTCAATCGAGGAGAGTGGATCAGGTCAACAACCTTCGTTGTGTTATCTGTCGCCTCTCTCTGAGGGACTGGGGGACGAAGCCAAACAGGTCAGCATGTATGAACCCGGGAACATATGGGAGCAACCTATTTGCTATGATCTTGGAAAATAATTTGAGATCGACATTGAGAAGGGCCATTGGTCTATATTTGCAGCATCGAGTGTGATCCTTTTCTGGTTTAGGGACAATGATGTGTGCCCGCAAAGTGTCTGGCGGAGGGTTGACACCGTCGGAAAGTGCATTGTATGTCCTTAGAAAGTAATTAGAGAGGGTCTCTCTGGACGTTTTGTAATGAGATAAAGTCAGGTCATCTGGGCCAGGCGCTTTATTCATTTTTGTAGAGGCGATAGCAATATCCAGCTCCTCTGTAGTTATATGGCCCTCCATTTCCTCACAAGTCTTCGGGGGGGGGGTAGGGACCAGAAGTTGCCAAGAAGGAGGCTATTAGCTCCTGCCATTGTGCAAAGTGTTGGGGAGGGTGTTCATGCAGATTATAAAGATTATGATAAAATCGCTGAAATGCCTTGGCGATTGTGGATGAATCCGTAGCCTTGTCCCCACCCTGGGTACAAACTTATCTTTTAAGAATAAACAATCTATGTTGTAAGGATTACACCAAAAATTCTGCATTCCAGAAGAGTATCTGCATTTAATGTTTTTGATGTGTGCTGGAGTGTTTTTTTCCCCTCTTCTTTTCCTTCTTCTCAGTTCAGGACATTAATGCATTTGCCACATTCCAGATGTATACCATACTGCCACATTTTATACCAAATTCAGTGATTTACCTAGCATTTTTTAAATTAACGATTTGTTCTATGTGTTCCCAAATACTCACTTTTATAATATTATCAATACTATTCTGTTGCCGTTACCATTACCACACAATACATACAGTGGACACTTAAACATCTCAAATCATCTCACCTTTGTTTTCAAGGGCTTCAAACAACTTGACCAGTATTGGAGGGCCTATTTCTGGAGGACAAAACTGATCAACCAGCTCAGGTAGTAGAGGCCCTTAAAAAAAAAAAAAAAAAAAAGAAACTATTAAATATAGATCATACTTGAAAATCAGTGCCAGTACCACACAAAATCAGATACATTCAAAAGAGAAAATTGGCTCTGTTGGAAACCTTGCATTCTGCAGTGGAAGTCGAACTTTGCAGTATATACTAACAAATCCTTAATAAGGCTTATCCATCACATACAACAGCTGCAGTGAAACATCAGCTTATCTTTAGGCCCCTTACACATTGAGCCTTTCAACTGCAGTGTGCCTGAGAGGGACATGTGCAGCATTCAGCCCAGCTGAGGGCAGCCTTTCAAAGGCTATGGCAGGCCAGACGGGGCTGAACTCTGTATTGAGCGGTACCCCTCAAGTGTGTCAATGAGAATGAGGCATGAGATTTGAATAGAGTTGGAGAACCTCCATTCTCACTGCTATCTGGGAGTCCATTAAGGAAATTTAGCCTCACTTCCTGTTGTGCTGATGTTTAACTATACAAGAGAAATATAGATTGTCATGGGCAGGAATGACAAATTCCTCCCCCCACCATTTTTTTTAAAGTGTTACTAAACCCACAACAGAAACATCGGTCTGTATATGCAGTAAAGTATGCTTGTTATGCTCACTGAACCTAAGGGGTTAATCCTCTGCATTGTGTAAAAATTATGTTTGATCCAGTTTTTTCTGATCCCCTTCTTCCACAGTCCCCAATCAATCTGCTGGTAGAACAGAACCTTGGGGGCAAGCTGCACATGCTCAGTTTGGTGTGTATAGAGGTGTTTTCTTTTCGTTGGGAGGGTGCATGTGATCAGCACAGGGTCAATCAGCATTGTCCAGACAGGGTCGGGGGTCCTGCAGCCTCATAGGACAATCAGGGGAGAATGAAAGCTCCTCCTACAAGCTTTAACCATTGCTCTGCTGGACACTGATAGAAGTCAAAAGTCTGCTCTAACTGCTGATGAGAAAAGGTATTTAGCAGTTTATATTTAAGTTTATACTTACTGTTATCTCACATATATATTCTTAATAATATAGCCAAATTTACCACCCTATCTCCTCCCACAGTTTTTACACTACATAGACAGTAATATACCAAAACGTGCGGATTGTTCCCGATTGGTGTGCTATTACTTTGTGGAACGTTTCGCCGAATGGTTCACAAAATATCTGCGTTTTTGTGGTGAAATTGGTCCAATAGGAGCGATTGACGGAATTTTCAAAACTAGAGGCGCTGACAAAAGCTAGAGTGTGAGCTGAAAAATCAGGACATGATTTCTAAACTGCCATCACTCCCTCATTTTCAAGCCCACCTACACAAATCTTGTATCAAAACGTTTAGCTATCCCTGCTGCCACTAAAAATGTCCACGGCTAAGCCATAGTCCTGATAGTTTTCACAATATGACCATTTGTTTGCAAGTCACGCCGCCCATTGACAATCATTGAAACTCCACTCTAGCCACCTCAAATTTGAAGGGCAATTTCTAAACTGCGACCACTCCAGTTGTAGACTACTGGTGGAGGGAAGAACACTTCACACAATTTCCCCAGAAATTGTAGCTTTTCTAGTTATTATTATAGCCAAATTTACCACCCTAACGCCTCCCACAGTTTTTACACTACATAGACAGTAATATACCGAAACGTGCGGATTGTTCCCGATTGGTGTGCTATTACTTTGTGGAACGTTTCGCCGAATGGTTCACAAAATATCAGCGTTTTTGTGGTGAAATTGGTCCCATAGGAATGAATGGCGGAATGTTCAAAACTAGAGTGGGAGCTGAAAAAAGCTAGAGTGTGAGCAGAAAAATCAGGACATGATTTCTAAACTGCCATCACTCCCTCATTTTCAAGCCCACCTATACAAATCTTATATAAAACGTTCAGCTATCCCTGCTGCCACTAAAAATGTCCACGGCTAAGCTGTTTTTCACAATATGACCATTTGTTTGCAACTCACGCCGCCCATTGACATTCATTGAAACTCTAGCCACTTCAAATTTGAAGGGCAATTTCTAAACTGCGATTGTACCTTCATTTTTAATATTTCAGAGACATACTATGCATCAAAATGTAGGTCTGGGTCTTGTGATTCTCACAACAAAGCTCTTTGGTGTAGGAAGTGAAGTGAGCAAGTTGGAGCAGTTTGTTTTTTTTAACCGCTCTTCACTGCCCTTGCTGTAGAGCGAGTTGCCATAGGAACCCAGATGTGTGAGCAGGCAGCAGCAGTGACAAAAGCTAGAGTGTGAGTTGTAGACTACTGGTGGAGGCAAGAACACTTCACACAATTTCCCCAGAAATTGTAGCTTTTCTAGTTACTAAAATAATTGCATTTCCATGTTCTGTGTACTATGGGAGACCAGATATAGTGAATGCAGGGTCCTGGGTTTAGTAACACTTTAAATAACGAAACATGGAAAATTCACTTGCAGTGCATTTTTTTTTATGGACATCCTGAAATATGCCAAAAACTCCTATTAGAATTGATATTTAAAGAATGTAAACATTAACAATATCAATAACAAGTAATCTGAAAAAAAACCCCAAAACAAAACAAAGAAAAAAACTGTGAGAGCATGACAAGGATTATGAAAGACCCTTGTATGGAGCAAAGAAAAAGTCCTGTGGTGCTCTTAGCAAATAGTGTGTGCCACAAGTGCACAGACATATATAAACCTCATAACATTTTTAAAAATATGAATTAAAACATCTGTTCAATTTGTCCCCAGGACAATAATAGAGGGGAAATCTTCCAATGAAAACACTAGTTCTGAAAACCCTAGTGACAACCAGGGATTCAATCACTTTGGAGTGATTTCTTCTCACTTCCTGTTCTGGTTATGGGACAGGAAGTGAAGGGAAATCTCGCCATTAGTTCTACTTGAAAAAAGAACTTCATTAAAAACCAGCAAATGTTAAGACAATGAAAACCTTGGTCAGGATTATGTAATATACAACGTGCAGGGCTTGACAACGCCATGGCAAGATCGCTGCCACCAACATGCGACAATCTCACGATCGCTGCCACCAACATGCGACAATCTCACGATCGCTGCCACCAATATGTCACGATCGCGGCATCAAACCCCAGATCTTCTCACCGAACTCGGGACCGAAGGACTGGCCGATCCAAACCGCGATGTGATGTGCGTAAGCAGCGTAACAACGCCACACCCAGCTGCACCCTGCACAACGATTTTCCAGCTAATGGACAACAGATCGATGTGCCGTCAGCCTGAGCGATTGTTACTGGGTCAGGTTAATTACACAATTAACCCCTTTACACTGCCACCACCTCTTTTTTGTTCAGAGAAAGAGGAAACTCGCAATATCGCTATAACACTATAATAATCGAAATAATCGTCTGCATAACCCGGTCATTGACACAGGCCGGTTATACAGAGAGTTAAAACAAACAGTAGCGTCTTTAAAAGGCAGGGATTCGTAAATTGCAATTTAGAACTATAGAAACAGTTCAACACTTTCAGAAAGAGAGATTTATTACTAAAAGGGTCAAACAGGGATTTAGGGAGGGATCGTCAGGCGGAACCCTAAACTGGAGCCAACATCTTTCATAATTCATATTCTGGTCCATAACTTTCCAGCTGCACAAGTGACATTCCACCCGCGGGTATATTATTATGCAGACAAGTCTGAGGATTATCTAGATATGAATTATGAAATTATATGTTGCACGGTTCACGAGTTCTATGTTTCGGCTCTCCTGATGGTCCGAGATAATTCAAGTGACCCATCAAACTGTTTGGCTCCTCCTAGCCAAACTGACGGTATGTCTGGTTTTTATGTAAGCCTCTCATATTCAGAGATATGAGACATAGGGGAAAATGGATTTGAGAAGTGTTTATCTGATTTTGTCACCTATGCTGAGCTAGGTTCATCAGGTCAGCATTTCTTTCAACTTCTGGGAAGGCTCTTTATCTGTTTCACGATGTGTGAAACTACACAGGCACATTGGTCAGTGAGGCTCCAATTCTCTTGAGAACACTGGCCTTATCCTGGCCTAGGTGAGAAAGGCTACACTTTCGCAGACCGCTCGGCACCGAGCTAGAAATGCCTTGCCCTGCCAGTGACCCATAAAGAGTACACATACACACACTGGCCAGAGGTCTCCTCACAGTGAGAGGGAGGGGAGGAAAGATGAGGGGAGAAAAATGGGAGATGCCTAACAAAATGGTTGAACCGCGTCCATCTCTGAGGCGCACGTTTGCGACACCTCCGGTTGACTTCAATGCAAAAGCGCCTGCCGTTGACTTCAATGCAAAAACTCCTGTCAACAGCAATCCTAGGTGAACACTTATCTACGCATGCCACTATCACTTGTGAGTCTGGAACGCACCACTATAAACTTGCACAGAACCCTTTTCGTAATGGCACTCAAAACACAATGCATGTGGCCAGGGGCGGACTGATAACTCATGGGGCCCCCAGGCAATAGGGGATCATGGGGCCCCGTGTCCTTGCCCAAACTCAAAAAAGTCTATGAAAAAGGTACCAGGGGCATCTCATGGGGCCCCCTACTGACCCCGGGCCCTAGGGCAGTGCCCGAGTTTCCAAATGGTCAGTCCGCCCCTGCGTGTGGCTCTCATCTGTGTTAACCATGTCAATAGGAACATATAATATCAAGTCTGCCATACAAATCTGTGAGTTTTAAAACTCATTCAGAATTGCATATGTGTGAACCAGGGCGGCTCCATTCATACCTGGGCGTTTTGGGATTGCGGCAGAATCGCTGAGATCACAAAATGCAGGTTCTGATGTCATTATTTTCATTGGCACCTAAAATGTTGTGCAGTTTTGCCATGATTATTACACAGCAAATTGCATCATGTGCAATATCTTAGCAATTTCAAGAGTGCTACATCCTTCTGAAAGACTTTATACAATTTTTGACTTTTCAGAGTCTGTAAAATCTCTTTTGCCTGAGGAAAAGAAGCTGCCTAGTAATTATGCACACCTTGATATAGGGTATTGATCTCCTTAGGCCACACCTT